TTGCTGCCTCTCTGAGAGGCAGCAAGGTGGGGGGAGGGAGATATGAATCAAGGGTTAAGCAATACCCAAATGTCTGCATGAGATTGCAGACAGCCTAAAGCAATAGCTCTGAGACGTGTGAACTATCTACTTCACATCAATAGTATATTGATTCTGAAATGTAAAGGTGATGATTTAAAATGTCACCTTTGTTAATTATTTCATTACTGATCATTTTAGTGGAAATATCCAGCAAATGTACTCATCTCAATCCCAAACGCAATACCCAAATGTCTGCATGAGATTGCAGACAGCCTAAAGCAATAGCTCTGAGACGTGTGAACTATCTACTTCACATCAATAGTATATTGATTCTGAAATGTAAAGGTGATGATTTAAAATGTCACCTTTGTTAATTATTTCATTACTGATCATTTTAGTGGAAATATCCAGCAAATGTACTCATCTCAATCCCAAACTGCCTCTCCTCACTTAGGGGATTTAATATTAAAATAAACTAACAAAGGTTATTGTATTGATGGTAATATCCATCATATTAAATTCAGAAAAACTCCGTTTTTCACATTTACATGGAAGTGCCACAGAATTCATAACCTGCAGCACCAGAATACTAGAAAATTCAGAGACCAGGCCACAGGATTTAAGCACAGCTTGCTGTACAATACAGGTGTTGGTGTTATATAATAAGACAGATCTGACCTATACCTAACCTTGAGGACCAAACTTTTAAAACCTGGTTTCCATTTTTGCTGATGAGATTTTTTTGGATATGATCACTTGTTCATATGAATTATAGCACTTATGGGCCAAGCTTCCAAAAGAGCTCACCCAAATGAAGTGATCAAGTTTTTAAACGTATGCAGCACCCAAATGCTCTCATTGTTGGGAATGGGAGCCGCTGGGTCCTGAGCATTTTGGAATAATTGGCCACTTCTTTTGATATCTAAATGGGAACTAAAGTCCTTTGAAAAGCCAGTTTCAGCTGTGGGTGCTAAAATGTCTGAAAATCCACCCCGTATGCAGAAGTTCCGATCTGTGTCAATTAGAGCTGACTGAGCAGTTTCATGGGGAATTTCAGAGTATGTCGGAACACACAAAACTGTATTTTAAGGGAAAATTTAATTAAAACTGATGCAATTTTTGAACATTTATTGTAATAGGAACGGTGTTTTCTAACAGGAAACTGTTTCATTGGAATTTTCCTAGCAGCTCTATTACCAAAGGAGAGCTGATGAGGACTATGCTAGGCCTGGCTAAAAATTTTCCTTTGAAACTGCTTTTTGATGGAAAATTTACTTTTTAAAATGAAATATTCTCACAGAAAACAGAAAACTTCAACTTTTTTTGTTGTTGAAAAACTGAAGAACCAGGGAGTTTTTACCCTACAACTGAAAACTTCCCATCTAAAAACTTGAAAATTTCATTTTCTCTGGACATTTTTAACAAAAACATTATTTCTGCTTTTGTCAAAATTTTCCAACAGCTCTCGTCTGTATATGCAAACTCTATTTTTATATGCATAATCAACAGTAAAAAGAAAGTGCAGGCAGATGATTGGTGCACACAAAATTGCAAGTGCACCAACAGAAGCCAGGGTGAGGTCTTTTGAACACCTCTCTCCCAACATGGATAACAATAACTAACAAAAGGAAACATCAGTACCAGGGAATTTATGCACTTCTGAGGTCTTCTCGGTGCCAGTCCTTTTGGAAGACTTATCAAAATACCAGCTTTTCTCTTCATCAAAGACCATAAAAAGCAGGACAAACTCTCGGGTATCTACTGGCCTGTTAATTGCACTGAGGGTTCCCTTTTGACAGATCAAGATTGGTCCAATCAAGCCTGAGTGAATATCTTTCTCCTGGAAGGCAATAAATACAAATTACAAGTAAGAATTAGTGTTTTCCAAAACATATAATTAACAATTTGCATGTTCACAGGGGCTTTCATTTCATGATTTTCCCTTACAAATGTTAACAGTAGCACATAGGAATTGCCAGATTGGATCAGACCCAAAGCCCATGCAGTTCTGTCTCCAACAGTGGCCAATGCCAGATTTTTTCCCCCCACATTTTTAAAATGTGGGGAAAACTTTATGCTGTCAGTCTCTGATCCCCTTCTAGTTCTGCAATATCTTTTTTGAGATGAGTGGTTAGTTCTGCATATACAGTATTCCAGAGGAGACTGTACCACTGATTTACATAACAGTGTTATAATCACTTTGTGTTGTTCCCCATCCTATTCCATATGCATAACATGTTGTGTGCTTTTTTTCGATCACAGCTGCACATTGAGCAGAGGTTTTTATTGACCTATCTCCAGTGATGCGCAGATACTTTTCCTGAATTGATATGGTTAATTTAGAACCATATAAAGTGTAAGCATTTTCTGTCCAATAGGCATTATTTTGTATTTCTCAACACTGATTTAATCTACCATCATCATGTTGCCCATTTAACTAGCTTGGTTAAGTCCCTCTGAAATTCCTCACAGTCTTCTCTGGTTTTAACTATCCTAAAATAAAGATCACCAGTGGATATTGCTACCTCACTATTCATCCCCTTTCCACGTCATTAAAAATGTATTGAACACCACTTGACCAAGTACCCCTTGCTGTTAGCCTTTTGCCATCATGAAAATTGACCATTTAATTCTAGTGTTTGTTAACTCTTGTAACCAGTAATTGACAATACTGGGCCTTGCATTGTATGATTAGTTTCTTTCTTCGATAGCCTCTTGTGCGAGACTGTGTCAAGAACCTTTTGGAAGTCTAAATAAAACATGCCATTTGATTTTGCTTTATCCACTATTTTACTGACATAGTCAAAAGATGCTAACAGATCAGTGATACAACTTTCTTTTACAGAAGCCATGCTGGATAGACCCTATCATACAATCATCTTACAAATCTTTTATTCTTCTATTTTTAATGATTATTGCAAGCAACTTACCAGGTACAGAAGTAAGGCTTTATTAATTAATAAAGGCTGGGCAAAGGTCCCATTTTACCAACGAACCCAGACCCAAGATGTATTTGCACATCACATTGAGGGCTGAGAGAATCTAACTTTGGGACTGAACAAAAAGTCTATTGAAACTCAGCAGAATGACTTTGGATCAAGAGCTACACTTGGAATAGAGCGCCTGATTGCCCCATTGGCTTGTGCATTTACTAAATTTCATGCAAAGTGATTCGGAAATGCTACTAAATCAGAATTCTCCACCTCCTCATGCCAATCTATTCACATTACACTGACATAAATGATTACATGAGGAACAAGAGAGTGATGAATCAGATTAAAAAAGAACAGGAAGCAATAAAAGAATAGTGTGAAGCCAGTATTTCAACAAGACATAGTACCTATTATTTAACAGATTCTAGTACCCTTTTGCTTAGATTTCCTTACCGGGTTTACATCAGAATAATAGGTCCAGGACCTACAGGCTGGTCCAGGTTGTATGGGTCCAGACCGCTTGGTTGCAAACCATACATAGGTATAGGTGTCATTTGGCTGAACTGCATCATCCTTTTTGAACCAGTCTGGAGACTCATCTTCATAACTGCTTCCCTCAGAGGATTTCTCATAGAAAAGCCCATGGGAATGGAGGGAATATGGCCTAGATGCCATATTTTTAAAATGAACCTAGAAAATAGAGGCAGACTCCTGATTAGCAGCTTTGGGCCTATAGCAAACCTCAGGCATAACACACGCACGAACTGTGTAAGGCACAAATTTAGGATTCAGATTTCTCTACTGATTATGGCAGTGGTCTCCAACCTTTTTACACCCAAAATCACTTTTTAAATGACAGACCAAGCCAAGATCTACCGCCCCACCTCTTCCTTGAAGCCCCGCCCTCTCTATTCTTCTCCTCTCCATCTCTTGCTATCCCCAGTCCTTATACTGCTACTTTAAAAAAAAAATTCCCACCATTCCTCGCAGCTACTCACCTGTGCTGTTGCTCGGTGAGTAGCTGCTCCTCAAATGAGGAAATCTAATGTAAATGTACTGCGCAGGTGCGCAGTTCAGAGAGGGCTCAAGAGCTACTCTTAGAGCCTCCGAGATCTACCGGTAGATCGCGATCTACTGGTTGGTGACCACGGGATTATGGGATAAACTGTGCCTGGCTGGAGATGGGGAGCATTGCTCCAGATACCTCTTTGTGGGGTTCAGTAGTTTCTCCTGTACTCAGCTAGTAGTATATGGGAAGCAGGGTATTGGTTCTGCCTGCTCCTTCCCCCCTTTCCAGAATAGTTCCCAAGAGGAAGCAACTTGGTGCCAATCCCTTGATTCCTGTGAGTACCCCAATTCTAGGCAGGCCTCACATAGAGCGCTAAAGGGGACAGGGAATCTTTATTCCTTCCTACCCCATTGGTGGCTGTGTTAGACGGGGGCGCAAGCTAATTCTACAATACTACTAGATCCCCGTGTACGTTATTCCCACTGAAGTCAGTGGAATCTGCCCAGGCTGTCAGGGCAGGGAGTTTGTCTTTTCTCCCCTCCAGTCAAGAGGAGGGAGTTCCAAGCCTGGGATTGACTTCTGTCTCCTGTTTTATTTGTGATTTTTATACAACTCATCTTTATGGACTAGAAAGCCTTGTCAAAGAAGTGGGAGTGCAGTGAGATCTACCATGTTCCATTCAGTCCATTCCGCTGGAAGGTCAACACATTCCTTATGGTAAATATTCTAATAAGCTGCCTAGGTTTCAGTCCCAAGAGACCGAGACAGCTTCTCCACTGCCTCAAAGATCTCATGTATAGGAACTGTTTCCATTTGTAACATTCCCCTGGTACATCTAGCTATAATTGCTTGTATTTATTATTTGTATTGCTTCCACTTCTTCCTTAGCATTTATGTGATGGCCAGTAAGTACCTTGGCTACCATGCAGGGACTGAAGTCAGAATCTCCAGAGCTAAAAGCATGAATGGCTACAGCTTGAGCTAAAGTTTTATAGCAGGGTGTGGGCATGGGTGGGAGAAGGGGGTGGGGCGCTAAAACAACACAGCAAAGAATTTGTGTGTTACAGGTCCTCAGAGGGAGGCCTGTAGCACTGAGGACCTGTAACACAAATTGACCAATAAGTCACGTTTAAACTAGAACTGGCCAACATTTTTACAAAGTATTTTCAGACAAATGCAAGCATTTCTAGTTTTGTCTGAAATCTCAGGTTTTTATTGAAAACAAATTCAGAAAAAAAATCATGATTTACCTGAGGTTTTTTTTTTAAATAAAAAATTGATGTTCAAAAACCAAAATATTTTGAGAACTAAATATAGACTGAAAAATCTTGCCTTTTTCCACTTTTCGGCAGGAAATTTAGAAAAAATATTTTTTACAAAATGTCCTACTAAAAAAGACTGGCATTTTTCAACCACTTTTAGCTCAGGCCCTACAGCTCCTCATAAAATACACCAAATACCTGATCCTGTGACTTACTTGAATGACATCATCCACCTCAGCCCTGATAACGGGACCCAGGATACCCAAGTGTTCTTCATACTCCCCTTCAGCCTCCCGAACTGTAAAGGTACTATCCACGTAGCTTCGGAAAATCACTTTTTTATATATGGTGTTGCCCCCATCACGTCTGGTTCGGCTATTCCTCGTTGTGCTGAGGTGAAATGACCCATGAAAGAACATAATGGAATTAGAAAAAAGACAGTTACCTGTTCTGTAATTGGTGTTCTTTGAGATATGTTGCTCATATCCATTCAATGCGTGCCTGCCACATGCACCAGTGTCAGAAGTTTTCCCCTAAGTAGTACCTGTAGAGGCTGGGATTTCCAGTGCCCCCTGGAGTGGTGCACGCATGCTGCACTATATAGGGAGGTGCCTAGGGGTGTCCTATCCCAGTTCCTTCTTGCCAGAACACCAACAGAGGGGAGGAGGATGAAAGGTTGAATGGACGTGAGAAACACATCTCGAAAAAGTTGTCTCAGTCCCACGGACTTGAGTGGTGCTATGATCATTTAAATTAGCTGAGTATCTGCCTCACACATTGCAAATCATTTCAGTATTTGAGCTTCAGGATTTTTACATGTGGAGAAACTACAGAGCTCTCTGACACTTGCAAATACAAATAATGAAGGTGGAGCTAAAGCAGGGGTCTACATAGGAAAAGGTGGGAAGGGGGAATTAGACATGTTTGTCAAGTGGCCCGAAGAGTCAATTTAAAAATACACAATTCAGAGACTGAGTTTGCTGTAATGAAACTGTTTCTGCCCTTCTCCTTGACAATGAAGATTTAGGCCATGCAATTATTTTTGAGAGTAACAATTTTAGAGAGAGAGAAAAAAAAGGTAGATTTTGCACAGACATATGCAATCACTGGTCATTTTGCATGGTTTCATGTGAGCACTGCTTTTTGTGACAACATTTCAAATTTCTAAGAGGTTGAATTTCTCTCAGAAAAGATGGATTACAAATTTCCATTGGTGGGAAATAAAACCATTTTTTCAAAATCAAAGCAAAATGTAAACATTTCAGATTTGGGGTTCATGCACAATAGTCCCATCAGTTCTTGATCTCGACTAAGACTAGCAACAAGGGGGTTAATTTGAATAATCTGTTGGTGGCAGTTTGCATGATGTGGACACTTGCCTGCTGGGAATTGGACTGAGAACCAAACCCTTCATTCTGTATTGACAATTGAATAAAACTTCAGATGGTAGGAACGATAAAGCTGGAATTCGCAGTGGGGTCTAAGGGCACCCAGCTCTGTTGAAACGCCCTTATTCACTTTGAAAAATCTCCTCCTAAATCCCTACCCACCTAAACTGGATTAAAACGGGCTACCTAAGAGTTCTCTCTTGACTGAGCCCCAAACATCCCATCCACATATATTTAGATACCTAGCTGAGGTTCTGAGGTGGGCTTCATTAACGTAGTGTCTAAGTGCCTCCCAATCTTTAATGCCTTTATCCCCACAAAACGTCTCTAAAATTAAGATAAAGCAGTTCCCTACCTCAGAGAAGGTGAGCTGAGGCACAGAGAATAAATGGCTTGAACGTCTGTGGCAGAGCAGGGAATTAAACCCGAGTCTCCTGAATTTCAGGCTAGTGTCTAAAGCAGTGATTCGTTGAACGTCTGTGGTAGAGCAGGGAATAAAACCCAAGTCTCCTGAATTTCAGGCTAGTGTCTAAAGCAGTGATTCTCAACTTTTTTTTAATTTATTTTTTATAAAGTACCCCTTTTAAAAAAAATTATAAGTACCCTAAGTACCTACAGTTTTCAGACACACACAATTTTTTTCTACCATGGCAACACATTTGTATAAACAACTTAATCGTAGCTGGGCGGGTGATGAAATGTTGGGTGTAAAAAGTACAAAAATAATAAAGCGTTGTAAAACTTAGAACAAAGATTCAGTTTTCTCCAAATTTCAGTTATGTTGATGTACCCCTCCCCCAGACGTACCTCGATTAACCCCAAGGGAACTTGTACCACTGGTTGAGAAACACTGCTCTAAAGCACTGCTCCTTACTTCCTCTTCTGCATTACAGACTGAAACTAAACAGCACTTGTGCGATTAAGAAATCCCCTAACTCAGTAGCTTTGCTGAGGGGCAGCTCTCTGAATCAATGGCTTCATATTCAACAACAGGATGTGAGGGAACAAAGAGTAAAAATTTAGCCCAACCTTTTCTTTAATCCTGCATAGTCCCAGATGACCTCTTCTGCTGCGATGTAGTACCTCCTCATGTGCCCTCTGCTGCGTAGATAGTGCACAGCAATGTCATCAGGATTACGAATATTATTTATGTTGAATCTGGGGTCCTTCATGTACAGGTCATCGAATTCTACATATTCATATTCATATAGGTTATCTTCAATTTCCTCGCTGTCAGAGCCTCCTGGAACATACTCCTTGTAGTCCCCATTTCCATTGGGAAGCCCTATGACGATTGGCTTAAATTGCCTTGGGGTCAGTGTGTCGTTAGTCCTGCTCAGCAAAACTGTGTGATTGGCCTCATTAGACAATGCTGTATTGTTGGCCTGACAAAGAGGTAGGGTGTGGTTGGCCTCACTGGACAACAGCGTGCAATTGAGCTCTCTCTGCACCTTTGGGAGTCTCACACCTCTAGGTGTCATTGAGAGACTACTGTACTTTTGATCATTCTTTTTCCTCCTACGGGTCTTGATAAGAGCCACAGATTTACTCAAGGTGCCATTTACATTTCTCTCTTCTCCTTTCAAATTCGGATGCTTGTGGCTTACATTCAATTTGCCCTTGGTAAAGTGTGCATTGCCTTTGAATTTTCCTTGCTTCTTATTCAGGGATATGATGTCTCCTGTAGGCATTGTAGCATTTCTGGAAGGATTCTGTAACTTATCAGTAGCCTGACCTGAATTTGTCTCCATCCTAGAATTCTCCTTCACAGAGGCCATATTCCACTTTTCATCCATAATTTTAGATGGATACTTCACGCCCCTTGGTATTAGCTTTCCCAACTTGTCCTTTGCTGCTACTGAGCTGTGACCAGGAGTTAAAATATCCGATGCATTATCTAGAGTAAAATTTCTATCTCGCTTGTCTTTGGGTAATTCTAATTCAGAAAGACCGAACAAATTTAATTCATTGTTTTCTGCTCTGTGTCCCTCAGCAAAAGTGACGTTATCTGCATGTTTGGGAAATTCAGTTTTTTCTGTACTGGTTTCTTCCTCCCACTCTTCCTCCTTCACATCCTGGTCCTCAACATATTTATTTGGAAGTTGATCAGTTCCTAACATATCTGAACTGGAGGTATTCTCTGCATGAGCAGAAAGAGGTAGTTGTTCTGAACTGGTGTTGCCAAAAAAGGAAAGGCTTTCATTTTGCTGTACATGACTTAAGAGGGCTTGCATCTTTTTAACAGCATACAGCTTAGTCTGAAACACATCTCGCCTTTCCCGCTTTCTACTAACATTATATTCTCCTCTTGAGCTGTCCTCTTCTTGCAGTTCCCCTGAAGAGAGTATTGCAAATGATGGCGTTATGCTGGTGCCTCTGTCAGATAACAGATCTGCTGCATCTTTGGTTTGGGCTTCTTCCCTGGCTCTCACTAGTTGTCCCATAAGTGTTTCATCATGATTTCCTGACATCTGATTGCGATTTGCTTCATAGTCACTTTGATTTCCAGCTTCAAATGCCAAGTCAGGACTTACTGCTGTTGTGGTAACCGGAAATTCATGTTCTCTTGTTGCCACTGTGTAATTAGTGTAGAGGGACTCAGTCTCAGTTGGGAGAAGAAGAGTGCTTTGAGTTTCCAAGAACTCACCTGTGTCCCTGGTATTGCTATTCTCCATGAATGGGAGAGCTGACCCAGAAGCCCCATCATCACTCCTAGTGCTGGTGCCAAAGTTTTCATCTATGGCCAAAGCAGTAAGATTCTGTATTTCTTCCTGGACCATTGATGTATTCCTAAATGTCCGAAGTCCCAAAAATGAGGCCAGATTATCTTGGTAATCAGAATCATCAGAAGGTTCCTGGTTTCCATCTAATGTTTCTTCCATTTCCTCTTCAGTTTGGGGAGAAGTTTCAGGCACACTTTTAAGAATCTTCTCAGAGGAGAAATCTAAGAATAAATCTGGGACATCCTCATAATCATCTACATCTTTTTGACATTTGGCATCCCTAAACCTCAGCCTCATGCCATGGTTCATCTCAGGAGAGCCCCAGGATGCAAAGAGCCAGGTACCTGCAGTTCAAAAAAAAAGTATGGTACATATTTGTAGAGTTTGACCCCATCTGTTATGACCTTAGACTGTATACTCTCTAGGTCAGGGGCCATCTTTTATGTATTAGGCCAACAGCGAGCAATAATTTTTAATGGGGAGGCCATTAAAGATTTTGGCAAATCATCAAGGGCTGCATTTCTGTGAAGGTGGTACAGAGTCTGGGTCGGAGGTTGGGTGCAGAAGGGAGCTTGGGCTAGGGGACTGGGATGCAGGAGGGGGTGTGGGATCTGAGAGGGAGTTTGGGTGAAGGAGGGGGTTATGATCTGGGGTAGGGATTTGGGGTGCAGGGTCCAGGTGGGGATATGGGTGCAGGAGAGAATTCTGGCCTGAGGAAGGGGCTTTAGGAGGGGATGTAGGGTCTGGAAGGGAGTTGTGACCTCGGAGAAGGGGGTACAGAGGGTTTGGGTGATGGCTTAAGGCAGGTAGTTCGGGGACAGAGGCAGGCTCTGGCTGGGAGGTGCTTACCTAGGCGGCTCCCAGCCAGCAGCCCTGCAGGAACCTGAGGCAGCCTGTCTGCAGCAGTCCCAGGCTGGTTGGTTGGCTGCTCCTTGTGGCTCTGCTCCAGGAATGGAGATCGGGGAGAGCGGCTTCACCCATTGCCCCTGCCCCCAGCAAAATTTCTCAGCTCCTATTGGCCAGAAACAGCTAATAGGAGCTGAGAAATTTTGCTGGGAGCTGGGGCAGCATGTGAAGCCTCCCTCCCCAGGGTCCAGAGCAAAGAGCAGCCAACCTTTAAATCGGCTGCAGCTGCCCTGTGCCTAAGGATTGTGGAAAGGCGGCCGCAGGCCGAATCCAGCAGATTGGTGGGCCAAATCCGGCCCACTGGCCATTTCTTGCCCACCCCGTATTAGTCACTACAGCACCTACCACAATATTACTCTTGTCCTTGACTGCGGTTTCTAGACACTACTGTAGTAAAAAATTGAGAATACAACTGACACATAAAATTGAGAGATCTAGATCTCAACTTCCCTAAAATTAAGGGATTCTGATTTTTTGTACAATCCAAGAAGAGATAAGACCAAAAGTAGATGGAAAAAAAAAAGAGGTCAACTGTGAAGTTTAGATAGGCACCCAAACTTTTCAAAATTTGAACAGGGAATTTGGGTGTGGGTCTATCTCTTATATTATGTGTATAAACCTATGCATGAGAGAATACTGACCATGAATAAAATCCTCACAGGAATTTTTAACCATTTCAAAACCAGGTATGTTACAATACTTTAAAAACCCTCTGAGGCTGTGTCCAGACTCAGGGTTTTTTTCGAAAAAAGTAGCCTTTTTTCAAAAAAACCTCACCTGCGTCCAGACTCAAGCCGCGTTCTTTCGAAATTAAATCGAAAGAACGCGGCTTTTCTTTCGATGGCGGTAAACCTCATTTCACGAGGAAGAACGCCTTCTTTCGAAAGTTCCTCTTTCGAAAGAAGGCGATCTTCAATGTAAATAGGGCTTCTTCGAAAGAGAGCATCCAGACTCACTGGATGCTTTCTTTCGAAAAAGCAAGCCGCTTTTTCGAAAGTTCAACGTGCAGTCTAGACGCTCTCTTTCGAAAGAGGCTTGCAGTCTAGACATAGCCTGAATGAGTGAAGGTCTTTAATAGGACAGAGGAATTCCACATTTGGACCTCCAGATTGACCTATATCAGAATAAATGGGCACAATGCACCAAAAATGCCAAACTGAGCATCTGAAGACTAGATTTTGGATGATCTGTGATGGCTCCCTGGTTTGAAAAGCTGTCTCCCTATGAAACTGGGAATACTGATACAGGAATAGAATTTTAATTCTAGAATACTATTCACTGAAATGCTACTGTCTCAGGTTCTACACTTTTTACAGCATGTCCTAGAATAAAACATGGCACTGATTGAGAAAAAATGTCTTTTACCTGAAAAAGGTGCCAGATATAATTTTCGACCTTCTCTATTTTTGAAGTGGCATAGAATTGCATTGTGTTCTTTAAAGTATTTCCAAAGGCAACAATAATGAACATGTTTTACAAGAAGTGGAAAGGACAGTGGAGAGAGGAGAGGAGGTGATCACATATTAAAACAAAACAATAATGGTGGAAAAGTACAAAAGGTTGACTTTGGACATTTCTGTCAAGTTTGATGGAGGTTTCCAGCTTCAATTAAACATTTCTTCTTTTTTTAATTTTTTTTAAAATGCATAGTTATCCTGTGAAACTCACTGCCAGAAGGTATCACTAGAACCAAGAAATTAGTAGGATCAAGAGAAATAGTCATTTATAGGGATAAAGAAAACATTCACAAGTACTTTAAACAGAATTTTTAAAAAATAAGGAATCTAAACCCTTCTACTTTAAGGCATAAACCAATCAATCACAGCCTGGAATTAGGAAGAATCTTCCTTCTCAGGCATGTTATTTCAGAATTGTGCACATTATGGGATTCCTTCCACCTTCCTTTGAAGCATCTGTTACCAGTTACTCTAGAGACAGGATACTAGAACTAGATGGACCACAGGTTTGATCCAGTTTGATAGTTCTGGACCACTAGTCATTTAGGAGTGAAAGAATGTCAGATCATGATGTGTCATGAAGCCATTTTGTTCAGTGACACCAGTAAAATTTGGCCAGAAGCCCATTTTAAACAGCCTACATATTTCACAACAGAATAGAGCAGACCAGAGGGTCCCTGTACCGCATACTTTTTCTGTTGCCAGAGTCAGAGGGAAAAGCAGCTTACTACAGAGAAAAGAATGTGAAGATATTTCTTTCTAAATGCAGAAGGATAAACAGAGTCCCAATATATAGCTTTTAGGGTTTGGCCTGCTGATTTACAAGTGGACTTTTTCTTTTCTGTAGATTATTACAGAGAACTTTAATACTGTGCTTCAAATAACAGTTATACAGCTAATGCCACAGAAAGGATTTTTGGGATTGCTCAAAAGCAAAACAGAATTATCAATAAGAATAGTATATATAACAGCATTGCTATATCATGTGGAACCAGCATACATATGTGTATCAATCACGCTTGCTGTAAATTAAGGAAAATTTAGATAGGCTGAAATTATGTGTTCACTTTACAGAAAGGTTTTCTATTTTTAAGAGCCCTTATGTATTCTAGATACAAAATGTATTAGCAGATCATTAAGCAAACACACCAGCCCTGCTACTTACCAATGTTGTCCATTTCTACAGTGACGGATTCTCCGCTCATGGGGAAAAGATTCAGTACATCTTCATACTTCCCTTGAGTCAAAAAAGAGTGACCAGAAAGGCGTATGGACACAATCTCATCCTGGGAGCCAATACTGGAGACATGCCACTGTACAATTGCATCTTGACAGAATCCCAGGATTTCAGTGCTGTCAGACATATATCCATTGATTGCTTAAAAAAAAAGCATAGAATATGCTATTACTGCACCTTAAAGCCTTTATCAACATGCAAGATGGTGAGGCAAATTCATGCCTTCATTGGAGTGAGATCAGGGATGGAACGGACATCTTTGTCTCCAGAGAGAGAAAGACTGACACCCTAGTGAAACTGGGTGCGATCTAGCCAGCTTCATCTGAAGGGACACCATAAAGCCCTCCAAAATTATATATTAAAATAAAAACATCTTTACTCTTTTCCCAGTCACCCTATATTGGATTCACAGTAAAAGAATTCTAACACATTTTTTAATTATTTGTTTTGTGCATGTCTCTCAGCTAGCTAGCAGTGAAAACCAACTACTAGTCAATTTCACTTGTGTTTACTTTTCACTTTTAGGTTCTGCATTCCTCACTATAGAATACAGGCCTGTGGGGACCATGAGCCATGCATGCTGGGAAGGACGAGAAATGGGCTACCAGTGCTTCTGCAGTAAGAGTTACCCTCTACTGTGGGAAGACGTGTCTTCAGGACATGTGCTCAGATTCACAGGCTAGAGTCGAGCCCTGGACAAAACCTCAGAGGCTAGCCTTGCATCAGCAGTTTCTCTGGCTGCTCTGCTATACTGTGCATTACTGGTCCACATGCTCCCTCCCGATTCCCTTGTGCTATGGCCATGAGGAGGCAGCTTTTCAGCACTAATTTGCACAAAGGCCCTACACATGTTCTCTGTGCAGCCATGCCCCCCACCCCCATCTGTTAAGACTCATTAACCCTTAAAACAGGAGTGGGGAACCTCAGGCCCAGGGGCTGAATGAGGCCCCCTGCTTGCCTGGATGTGGTCTCTGAGTCTCAGGGCCTTCCCCAGTGTGTGGGATTCCATGCTGGCACTTCATCCCCCTGCTGCCCCACTGTGAGGCTTGGTCTCCCTAGGCTCTGGTGTACAAGAGGAATGTGGAAAGTGTCTTTCCCCTCAGTTCTACGCCAGTGAGGGGTTTTGTTTTTTGCTCCTCACTTGTGTGCAGCCCATGTCTCATTTTATTGTGGGTCAATGGCCCCTGACCCAAAAAAGATTCCTCACTCCTGCCTTACATGTTGCTTAGTGCCAAGCTAATGGTTGCAGCTTGCACCAAACCCAAAAGCACGCAGTAAGAGGCATGCAGCTGCTTGGGTAGCTTCTGGATCAGGGATGGCCCGGTGAGCCTAGGCAGACTAGGCAGTCGCTTAGGGTGCCACCAGCCCAGGTCCCAGCTGATGATGTCATGGGGTGCCCGGGTACCTGATGATGACGTCACAGCCATTGACGGCCGAGCAGGCAGGGGCGCTGATCGCACCTTACCGCTCCTGTTCTGGATTCTTCCCAACGTCCCTCCTACTTCCTTCCCCTATCCACTGACTCCAGGGCAAACAGGTGCAACATCACAGACTGTTCCTAGCCACCAACCCAGGAACCTGTAGTGCTGCCCACTATAAACCCCTCACCCCCAGAAATCCTCCCTTCTGCCAGTCTCGACCCAAACAGTTGCCAGACCCTCCTACTCCCCACATCCCATAGTCTACCTCTCTGTCTCCCACCGTCACTGGTACCTCTGCCCCCCACCTCTAGGTGCTGCCTCAATGGATTGCAGTTGGTGGCCCAGAAGCCCAGTCAGAGCTACTGAGATCATTGTCACTTCCCTTGCTCAGCTGACATTTGCTCGGCTCATGATGATCATGTTTGTGCCTAAGTTGCCCTAATCATGCCAAACCAGGACCAGAACCCTGCTCATGTATGCTTTCCTATCTACCATGGGCCATTTTCTGCCACTCGCACTGCCTTGCACCTCAAAGTAAGCACCCATTAGAGAACTTGTGCTCACGTGAGCTTTTGCCAAGCTGGGCCCAGTTTGCCACTCACTGTGCATTATGTTAGACTTGTAGAACTTGGGATCATCCCTTTTAACGCTGGAGGGGTTGCTGCAGTACTGCTTGATGTTATCCTCCAGGTACCAACTCTTGTTTTCATCAAACACGGCGAACACAGCCTGCTGCTCCACATCCGCTTTGTTCTGAAAGACAGACATGGCAGAGTGAACTTTGCGGGCAGCTAACAGATACATAGGGGAGCATATTAAGGGTGTGACGTCACCACCCCTCCAGAGACCACAGTTCCATTCAAGTGAATGAGCAGCTAACAGATACATAGGGGGGCATATTAAGGGTGTGACGTCACCATCCCTCCAGAGACCACAGTTCCATTCAAGTGAACAGCAGCACAGTCCGGTGGTAAGAGTAACGACCAGGGTTCCAGACTCCTGGATTCCATTCCTACCACTGCATCTCTCACACTGTGTGACACACCTGACCAGCTACTAGCACTGCTGCTATGAGATAGACTCCCCCTCGTGACCCACTTGTTGCTGTCTACACAGGCACCTGAGTCACTGTTTCCACTTGCTCCTGGATGGCGCCTGAGCCATTGTCAAAGTAAATTCTTTCACCCCACAGAGAGGAAGCACAAGAAGAATTTTCCCTTCCAGTGCTTCTGGATCCCCAAAGTTCGTGGTTGTCAGACCTAGGTTAAACCTATCAAGAAGCCAGGTCAGAACCTATCTTAGCCTGAATCAGAACCTCCCCAGAGTTTGAAGGTACACAGAGAGGAAGCTTTGGGTGGAGTCCAGAATCAGGATATTGCAATTCTTGCCTGTCTTGGCAAACAAAGCACAGTCACAGAAATCTCTTGCAGCTTGATCTTTCTAACTGAAAGCCCCAGTGAGCAATCTAAATCTGGAGTCATAAATGGACAGCACAGAGCTAAAAACTATCACTGCAAGCAGCCCTTCTAGAAACGCCCCGTGGAATTCAAAAGAAATCAAGCCCCTTCCTTAATTTACGTGTTTTTGACTCCTCCTACAGAATGTGATGGAGAATGATGTCCCGACAAGTGAGTTTTGTAGGGTCATTCAAAGAACTGATGCCAAGCATCCCATGCCTTATTACATTCTATAGGTTTTAGAGGGAGTGACTTCTACAGGGGCCTACTGATCCAATTCCACTTCAGCTCGAGAGGCCTTTTCTCTAGGGGAACGATCAATGAAACCAAATTCCCCTGTAGTTCAAACACAACCCCTGGGCAGGGAGCCTGTCTCTTAGAATTTGTAGAACATGATCATACCTGCACACCCCTCTTGTTCAGCGCTTCGCTTTTACAAATGAGAAGTGGGCCAATCAGCCCAGAGGCTATATCCCTGGTTACATCTACGGCACTGTGATATAATCGTGTTATACACTGGGCATCCTGTGCGGTGGGCTGATCGGTTTCCATGACGCTCCAGTTGTACGTGTAGGTGTCTCCTGGTTGAACTGCTTTACTCTGGGTGCTGTTGTCTGAAGGAGAAACAAATGAGAGCGAAGCATGAACAGGCATTCCATCTGTGGCCAGTGTAAATGGGCATCATGCCAATGAAGTCAGTGCACGTTCACCAGCTGACAGCAGTGGATCAGTCATCCCGTCCATAGGACAGTTCGGGGTGGCTATCCCAGGCCCTGCACTTTTGGGGGACCCTGCGGTGGCCACTGCCAACCATCCTATGGACAGGATCCAGGGAGCCTGGTGTAGGGCAGAAGGGGTCATCCCCCCCACACCTTGCAGCCACCTTGGCAGCGATGGCACCTTGGCCTGCTCTGCCTCACCGCCCATCTAGCTCACCGTGCTTGGCTTCTCACCTGCAGCAGGAAGCAATGTGCCCTGACCCCAGGGTGCTTCTCTTTCTGCCGTCATGGAAACTACAAGAATCATTTAACTGAACGGAGAGAAGGATCAGGCCTAGGCAGGGAAACTCTCCAGCCAGTGAGAAAAGATGATTAGAACTACTGTTAGGCTACATCTACACTGCCGGCTTTTTTTTGTGCAAAAATTTGCAGAGCGTCTACACTGCATGCGCGTTCTTGCGCAAGTAAATTTATAGTAAAGTGTCCGAACAGAGGGCTTCTTGTGCAAGAGTTATTCCTCTCCCCCACGGGGAATAATCCCTCTTGCGCAAGAAGGCAGGGTGGATGGGCAACAGGGGTTTCTTGCACAAGAAACCCCTCTGGCTAAAATGGCTGTCAGAGCTTTCAGGCACAAGAGCATGTCCACACTGCCATGGACGCTCTTGCGCAAAAGCACAGTTCTTGCGCAAAAAGCCTGCAGCGTAGATGTAGCTCTAGGGTAAGATATCACATGTTACAAGCTTCTTAGCGTATTGAGCTTAGCTGGCATGCTTTGTTTTATTTTGCTTAGTAACCTACATTGTTCTGTCTGCTATACATTATGATCACTTAAATGCTACCTCTGTGTCAGTGCTGGAGGAAGGCCCAGCAGGACAGGGCAGGAGGGAGCCCAAAAGGACAGGCAGACAGGCTCAGTCATATTTCAGCACCTCAAGTGACAGTCACAAGGGGATCTCGGTGACCAAACCCATCACACCAACTATTCATATAAAATGATGCGGGTCTATATTAGCTGTTATGGCTCAAGAAAGATCTTAAGAGTCAATATGGAGTCAAGGGGGATCCAGTAGATATAGTATACTTAGATTTTCAGAAAGACTTTGACAAGGTCCCTCACCAAAGGCTCTTGTGTAAATTACATGGCCATGGGATAAGAGGGAAGGTCCTTTCTTGGATTGAGAACTGGTTAAAAGACAGGAAACAAAGGGTAGGAATAAATGGTAAATTTTCAGATTGGAGAGGGGTAACTAGTGGTGTACCCCAAGGGTCAGTCCTGGGACCAATCCTTTTCAACTTATTCATAAATGATCTGGAGAAAGGGGTAAGCAGTGAGGTAGTAAAGTTTGCAGATGATACCAAACTGTTTAGGATAGTCAAGACAGAAGCAGACTGTGAGGGACTCCAAGAAGATCTCACCAAACTGAGTGACTGGGCAACAAAATGGCAAATGAAATTTAATGTGGATAAATGCAAAGTAATGCACATCGGGAAAAATAACCCCAACTATACGTACAGTATGATGGGGGCTAATTTGGCTACAACAAATCAGAAAAGGGATCTTGGAGTTATCGTGGACAGTTCTCTGAAAACTTCCACACAGAGTGCAGCGGCGGTCAAAAAGGCAAATAGGATGCTAGGAATTATTAGGAAAGGGATAGAAAATAAGACCCAGAATATCTTACTGCCCCTGTATAAAACTATGGTACGCCCACATCTTGAATACTGTGTACAGATGTGGTCTCCTCACCTCAAAAAAGATATTTTGGCCTTGGAAAGGGTTCAGAAAAGGGCAACTAAAATGATTAGGGGTTTGGAACGGGTCCCATATGAGGAGAGGTTAAAGCGACTGGGACTTTTCAGTTTAGAAAAGAGGAGACTGAGGGGGGATATGATAGAGGTCTATAAAATCATGAGTGGTGTGGAGAGGGCTGATAAAGAAAAGTTATTTATTAGTTCCCATAATAGAAGAACTAGAGGACACCAAATGAAATTAATGGATAGCAGGTTTAAAACTAATAAAAGAAAGTTCTTCTTCACACGGCGTGTAGTCAACCTGTGGAACTCCTTGCCAAAGGAGGCTGTGAAGGCTAGGACTATAATAGAGTTTAAAGAGAAGCTAAATAATTTCATGGAGGTTAGGTCCATAAAAGACTATTAGCCAGGGGATAGAAATGGTGTCCCTGGCATCTGTTTGTCAGAGGCTGGGGGAGGATGGCA